CTTCTCTCGGTTTAAGACCTCCGGGGTTCGACTATCAAACAGTCAATCTAACTATGCCTCGTAACCGGAAATGCTAATTCTCCTAGGTATTACAGCAGAATGACCCTTTCTCCTTTTGAAATCCTATTCGTATTCTCAGGTATAATGTGGATTGGCAATAAAGTCTTGTGGTTTCTAGCTGGTCCATATATTGATTCATTGGGCGCCGGAATGCTAACGGAGTCGGCCAAGACCATGGATAGTTCATCTTACTATAATTCATTATATCGTTTCTTGCTTCTAGTCGGTGAGTATGACCCTGAATTATGCACCTGTGAAGTTACTGGTGAACCTTTTAGAGTTCAAGAAGCATGTTACAACTCACCTAGTATTGAATATTTAGAGTAGAAAACCGGGCATACCTTATATTATCCCTACTTACACATCCACAGTCCAAGGAACAAGTTTTGGAGAATGCTAGACATTAAATTAGCTGATAGCAATCGTAGAGCAATCCAGTCTATCTTACATAATTATCCTATGGCCGTGGCGATATACCCGCCTGTGACTTCAAGATTGAATAGCTACTAGAAGGAATCTCTCTATTTGTAATATATTCCTCTCTCATGGATGTAACAGTGGTTTTATTCATCGTCATAGGGTTAGAGCCATTCGACACCTCCTACAAAAAATAGAATCACCACCACTGTAGTCAATAAGACTGGACCGTTACGGAAAGGAATATAAGAAAATTCACAACATGCGCACTATTAGAGTTTGGCAGTAGACTAAAATAAACCCTATTTAATAGAGGCTCACCGGAGAATGCTGTCTCATGACATTTCCTTGGAAAATATGACTTCAAAGTACTAAAGAAAAGATGTTTATAGAGTAACAGGTGTTGTTTCGGTGACTCGGCGCGGAACAGTGCTCCGAATGACATCAACATCCCACAGCTTATTCACCTCTCTTTATTCCCCCTTCTGCAAAATCTCAAAATCAAACTATTCTCCCCCACACTGTACCCACTCGTTCAAACTTTCTTACTCAAACATCATCTCTCTCCAGCATGCCTTTCACGGATGGAACTGTCCGTGCCCTACGTGGTCGCTTTTCGCGTATCGACCTATCTGAGAACTTGGATATTCAACGTATGAAAATGTATACCATACTCCGGGACATATACTCTCCGGTGCCCATACACAGTGTTGGGGAGTGAGCTGGTTTGTGGTGAGGGGGACATGATATATATCACAGTCGCAGTAAACGACTATAAAGGATAGAAATGCTTTTTGTGTGAAGATTAAGACGAGAGATCATCGACCCACCAGCTCACGAACAGCTCTACCGATTTTTCCACCGCCTTTCCACTATCGGATTTGTTGTGCTTACGATGCATCTCCAACGTTGCCATCTAGTGCAGTGTTTGGTCAAGATCTACTACTAAATAAATCCCATTAAATTACTCTTAATTTTGTGCCAGCAACTTATGTTCATGCTCTCAACATGAATTCTACCTCTTCTCTGATGATTACACCGCCGAATGTTTACGGATTCTTTTACGATTTGAAACAATTCAGCGATAGCTGAGAATATTATAACTGCTACCTTAGTGGGTAGCGAAGTAAATGCCCTCCACATAAGCACACTCGAAGCAAGACAATGGTTGACAGCATGTCTGGAATGAATTACAACGCAATTTACAATTGCTGCGACTGATTATGTGTTTCGGCTTCATACTTACATTAGCGGCTTCCACCGGGATCCCGAGCATGTATGAGACCTGGATCTGTTTGAACGGCGGCTAGCTCAATGTCGGATACAGTACAAAGCAAGCCGCCTTTGCGCCAGGAGTACTAATCTGCAGGAACATTGACATCGTTGTCCAGGTTTGAAAGGTGTGATCTGAGATGTGGAGCTAGTGTTTTTGCCATCCGCGAAAAGATACGTTCACTTGTCTCCTCCCGAAAGAATAGGTGGCCTTTGGCATCGAAGTCCCAAGCCGTGTGCCGATATGTCCCCCAAACATACTCCAAAACTATATCCGAAGCCGGACAGGAATTGGTGTCAATACTAGTTTGTATGCCCACAAGCACGTCATGCTCCAGGAGGTTCACCGGACAATACCACCACCATCGGAAATCGGATGACTCACTTCCGTCCAGTCGTCGACAAATACCATTCTTTTCATCAAAGAATCCTAGCGTACGGAGATACTGAAGTCGTTTGATACTCCAAGAGTGAGAAGGTCTACGTGTGGAGCATAGAAAGAGCTCGATAATGTTGGGAGGCCGTAGGTACTGGGTCACTGCTCTCATGCAACCCGATCGGTGGGCGCTCCTAAAGTCGTCGCCGCCATCCTCAAATCTTGTATATTCGCCAGTCAACCTGTCCCACTCCCTAGCAATACTTTCAAAGCTTTTCCGCCCAAGAAAGCTCCACACAAAGTCAAATATCTCGAGCACATCTAATTTTTCCTGCAGTGTCCGGCTTCGGTTGTCGCCCCATATCTTCCATACCTGCACGAAATAGCGATGTTGATCCGACGGTGTATCATATACAGAAATTCGGGCTAGCCACAGCATCTCTACCGCCAGCCACTGCGCGGTCAAGGCCTGGTAGAAACGCTGATATGACCGACGGTTCTGACCAGGACATACCGCACCAACATCAAGTGAGACATCCCCCTGCGAAGTGACTATCGGCTCCACGAGACGGTCAGTTTCTGTAAGATTGCACTCTTCTTCAGAACTGTCGCTACCCAGCCAATCCGGTGGTCGAGAGCGAAAATACAGTGTACGCAACGGCGGGTGGCAATAGAGCTGGTACAGGAGATGCAGCCCTTGCCATCGACAAACAATGGACCAGACCATGTCTTCTGGTAGCGGGTCTACTCTCTGGACATGGGAATTAAAAATATCAGCTGGGGTTGGCCGCGCTGATAAGGGCAGTTTGTCGCGGGACCAGGTTACATAGTGCGGCACAAAATTGCCATATAATTGCAGGTGCCGGGATAGGTCGACATCATATCGATGATGAGAAGCGTTAGTCTGCAGTATAGTCAGGCAAGTATAAGAAGCGTTAGGTTGGCTATTTTTGCTCCGTCACATACTATCACGGATCGAAACACGTGTAGGCGGTTACCTGACCCCTCCAACACGTCATGCAGATGTCTACAGCTGCGTGCAAGGTGGAATACATCGTCCAAGTCGTCCAAATAGCGAAATATGGATAAAAGTATCTCGGTAGGGAGCTCTAACTGAGTCGGCATATTGTAGTATTCAAGAATGGAGTTCGAAAGCAGAAATGTGGTTAAACTTCTATTTTGCCCAACCTCACAGCTCATCTAGTTGCTATTTTGGACATCTTATAAGTTTACCTGGCAACCCTCCGAGAAAGTATAAAACTTTGCCAAAATACGGATAACATATTATGACTTCATTATTGAACACATGTAATTAGTGGATTATTGTTACTTATTCTTCCTGGCCGGGTGTAGGTTTGCGGTCGAAACCAAACTGACAATTTAACGAGGCCTAAACTTTGTACGGTAGAGTGAGGGTTTGCATGTTTTTCATGGTTTGGGTCTACTGATGTTTTGATTGACAACTATATTTAGCAGATTAATGCAGCTATTCGTCTGAGGTCATAAAATAAAGGGAATCGCATTGGGTAATCAACCTCGAATGCATTCAAATCTGTCTGTACTCAACTAGTCATTTGCGATTGCAGTTTCCTCTTGTGATAGCACCTAGTACTCTCCTCACATGGCGTACTTGTGAAAGTTATTTCTGGTTATCTTTCTGGCTTATGGTTGAGGCATTTGCAGTGTACTATACCTGAAAACACCAATAAACTCACCTTATCTTCGGATCCGACAGATACGATTCATCTCCGAGCAATAACCAAACTTGGCTATTGGGCTATTCAACAGAGACCCACATATTGAAACTTCGCAGTTGATGTCACTAAATACATTCTCTGACGTGGTATCTGCAATACCATGGTGCTTCAAACTCCTAACCTAACTGGATCGAACTTTCAACTATTTGGTAGGTTCTGTGGCAACATCGGTCTTGAGACCGATCCATGAATCTGCACATCCCGACTCCTTCCTATGCAACAACATTGTGCAAGGTCGCCATTTAGCTCATGATATTCAGCTCCACTATCTGGCAGTCGCCATCATTCAGAGACGAAGCATTCAGTTGGGATTGGTGAACTAACTTGATCTCATATGATTTTCTTCACTCCACAGGAAGGGTTGCCAGCCATCTTCACAAGGTCACGCTTGTAGTGACCACAGATTACGATATGCCTAACCAATCGTCAGTGTTATGGTACTGTTTTATCTAAAATCCACTCTTTAGCCTTTGGGGGAGGCCTTGGCACCTGGAGGGTACGCCAAGTGGGCATTGAAAGTGCACGCCGAATTCATTAACTTGGCAAATGGGAATGTTGGTATCGACCTGAGATAGATCTGCCTGTGGCCAACACTCCAACAGTCAATAGTCATCACTTACCACTTCGGATGCCAAGAATTTGTCTTGGTGGTATTTGTTACACCCGGGGCTTCGTCGTCAAGTCCTAAACCCGTAAGCTAACCGCGTGTAGTAACACTTACCTGCAGTCGTTGACTGTCGTTGCCAAAGGGTTGCGGTCTTGGCAGGACGGGAGTCGTAACAGGACTTCCGTCGACACAAGACTGCCGTCGAAACTGGACTCGAGTCCAAAGGGCCAGGCCTATTAAGTACGTATACCTAGTAGTTAGAGAGTACGAACGAGTTGAGACTGGTTTACTAGCAAAGGTAACTCAGTAGTAACAATGTTGATTGATCACGAAGAACTGAACTAAGTACATGAACGAGTGTCCTTTTATATCTCTGGTCCCTGTATACCATGTTGGTACTTCGTATACCATTGCTTGGCGTGTATACCATCATGTGGGGTCACATAGCGTAGTTGATATCGGCGGCTCACTAGCCGTTTCGTTGTATACCAATTAATCAAGTCACCTAACCCACTCAAACAAAAGGCTTATAATTGAATGCTGAACGAATATTCAATTCAGTGAGGTGATATATATACAGCGTAACCCCCCTAGGACTACACATTATTAAGTTAATTATTATAATTTAGTCTATTTTAATCTATAGTTAATTATAATTAAAAAAATCTTGTAATCTTAATCTAATTAAGATCAGTTAGATTAAGCTACTCTAGTATATAGTGTGTGGAGAACCAATACAATATAGATATTTCTAATAAATATCCAATAGCTCTGTTTCCTAAAGATTATACTGTATAAGATCAGTCTTGACTGGATTTAATACTTCAACAGTTATACAAAGTACCGTGTCTATCAAAAAGAGGCTCGATGCAAGAGATACAGGCAGGGCTCTGTATTCCACAAGGCCGAAATATCAGATAATTCTGGATCATCGATACTAGACTGGCGTTTGGCCAGGTTAGGTTAGGTTATGGCTAGGTCACGGTGGGTAGGTTATACCACTCTAATCGATCCACAATACCCTGGGGTCACCTATATAGTATACCGCCGTTACATTAACTTATTCATACTATTAAGTATATATAATAGACCTATCTCTGGTACCTTGGACTAATATTTTACAGAGTATATTTATCTTGCCTTATAATCTCGCGGTCACATTACTATTGTGGATCACTAGTGGATTGTAATTATTGTTGTAAGTCGTATCTAACCAATATAGCTACCTAGTCGCAAAGCCCTTGGACGAAACCCCGGGTATAACGTGTAACACCTGTGAGTGCACCTTTAGAAATGTCGAGTATATTATATTCTGTACCTTCTGCTACAGCCCGCTGCTGTAAAAAGAGCTGAATCGGCAAAAATGGGAATAGACTGAATCCTCTCCTGGGAAATGTCTGAGGAACCCAGGGTATAATTAGTACTAAATTGTAGGTATTGCGACGGCAACACAATTGGAGAATCGAGGGCTAGTATTGCAGCAATATGTTCCAACAGCCTCTGGTGTATGAAGTGTCGTTTTTCCACTGCATGCTCCAACATCTCGGTCCACTTCTTAATGGAAATATCGAGATTCATTAATTCCTGCTCGCGTGCTAACATTCTACCCTTCCACTTGGGACCAATCCAAGTTGCGGACTTGAGATCCCGGATTTTCTGCTCTTGGAGAATGCGACGCTCTGATTGTAAGGAGATACATGTATCTTGGAGGTATTTGCAGTGCTCCTTTAATTTCTCTAGCTTCTTTTATCTGTCAGACTGATCCTCACTCAGAAGGATGATTGAAACAGTCAGAAGAGCATACCTGTGAAAATATTGCGACTTCATGTTTGCTTAGGACTTTAAGCTGCTCGGCGTGGCGTTTCGCATGATTTCGAAGTTCGTTCAATTCCGGCGCTGGCAGGGTCAAGTGAGCGTTGGGTGAGATCACCCCAAAATGAAGCATAATAGGTGAAAGTTGTTGCGCGTTAACATGGAATTCGGCTTGCCTCTGTCGCTCTTGTTCCGTAGCAGGTGGATTCGAAGGAGTGCTTCCCGGTGAATGTTCTCTGCGAAGGGAGTTGCCTGTGGCTGACGATAGCTGACGTCTACAGCGGTATACGAGTTGCTTGGATCCTTGTTGTGGTATAAGATAACAACAGCTGTTGGATGTAGGAGGGCTTTGTAGAGGCGTCATTGTGGGTAATGTTTTCGCCTCAGTTGGGAGCACCGGCAGGCGCTTTCCCATTTCAGATCTCAGCTCCGTGGCAAGTCCAGGCACATGAGAGGGAACCTTCGAACTATCCATGTTGTTCTTGGAGTCGTTATGCCTGGGGTATCCGTCATTCTTCGACAATGGTGTATCTCCTCGTGTACTGGAAAGAGCATTGGTAGCTTGGATGGGGTTGAGTATAGCTTTGAGAAAAGGGTTCTCGCTGGACCTGGCATTGGTTGGACCACTAGAATCATCGTTGATTGGATACCAACCGGGTATAGTTGCTGCAGGATTTATTAGTATATTCACGGTCTAAATTGCGCGATCCAGTTTAAGTTTGGTACGAACGGGAATCCATCTGATAAGGATGTTGTGGGACTTGGCTGATTTCACCAGGTGAACAGTCCTTCCGTCGCGTGCTAGATATGGGCCCAGGGCTGCTTTTGCCTCTTGCAGCCCATTCTGTGTGATCTGTCGTGATCCTATCCAGGCGAGCCTTTGACGCATTCGTGGGCTTGCTTGTAGCCCCTGTGCTACCCGCACCAAAGGATGCGAGTCTCTTGATAGCTGCCACACATTGTTGCCCTAGTTGATCTCGGACTTGACTGGGGGTGCAATCATTGCTTCGATACCCGGCCTATGTCAGTATTTGTAAGTTGCTAGTCATGTTGTGATATCCAATTGGTGAAGCTAGTGGACTTACTGTTGTGTTAGATTTCCCTGAGCGATCAGAGAGCAAAGGGTTATGCATACAATCATCTCGCAGCTCTGCCATGCTGGTGTTGGTAAACAAGTTACCACAAAGACGCAGCGGATATACTATAAAGCTGGGAAGGGAAATCTGAAGAAGCTGTCCATATAAGATAGTTCTAGATTACTACCTTTGATACCAATTACTTATATATCGTACAAGGTTCCCGAGACGAGCATTTTCTACTTCAATATTATGATACAATTACATTGTAGCGGCAACTGAACCTGCATCCGGAAGGACCTTCTGTCTCAAAGAATGTAACCCTTCCATATGTGCCGTCTCAGTAACACGAAGTATCGTCGGCTCCAGTGAGACGGCAATAACTTGAATAGGAAGTTTGACCGAAAGTCATGGCACCTCGTGACGTATCTGGCGGATGGCGAAGGGGATTTGGCATCGGCCTTGACTTAGTGTAGCTATCTTTCGAGCGGCTGATGCTAAGCGAGGTTCTTCGATGTTTCAGATTTCGAACCATACTCCTGTTTCCCCCCCAGCGGGAACAAATGCTCGTACATGTTGGCTAAGTCACAGGAGAAACAACATGATTCGTGGTTCGGGATTCAAACCGACATGGGCAGCCCCACCGAAAAAATTGTTGAGAACGAGAGGATCTCCACTTTGCAACTAAAAAGTCGTTACTTGGGCTGCAGGGGTTTGCGTGTGGTTCATCAGTACAATGCTTAAATGAGCAACTTTACGACATTTTGCATAATACAGTATTGGAGCTCATCTATATTATGCGTGCTACAATTATATCATATCCATGCGATCCAATACTTTCCCGGCTCAGAGCTAATCCTCTCACCTCCTCCGTTCGCCACTAGTGAAGGTCTGTGTAGCTCAGGCTGATCCTCCCTAAATATTAAACCCTAAATCATGGACGCATTAGCTTTAGTTACAGTTTGTTCTCTCGACAATCAAGGTATTGGGGATCCACCGCTGACAGATAGGGTCCTCGCTTAGGACTGACTCCACTATTCCCACGTGGACAATCTAGACAGAAGTGCGGAATAGTTCGTATCCTTTCCCGTGCCAACTCTGGATATCTGGCAGGTGGAGACACTTGCATTGTTTTATTTGATCGGGAAATACTACAGACATGGGAGTTGACCCCCAATCTGTAAAATTGTTGCTGTAAATAGCCTTTAGATTTGGCGATTATATGAAGCTCGATTCGCTCTATCTTAGTAGGAATATGATTCCCGATCGCATTTCCTGAATCACTCAAAGCCTTTCAATTCAACCTCCTAGCAAATAGGACTCTTAGTATATCAAATTTGCGACGTATCTGTAGTTCATCTGGTAGAGAGGTGATGTCCAAAACATTACAAATTTCTCCACATAGGGGCTCTGGAAACCAGCATCAGGAATGTGATACAGATGTCTTATTGGTAGTTGGATCGAGGAAGAATCGATGGTTTCCTTCCAAAGATGGCATAGCATCTTTCCCTCTTGAGATTTTAACATATTAATAATAGGGTTTAGACATTTTGCTACCCCTGTCACCGAGAGTTGGAAATACACTCTATTCAACACGTCCGATAAACTTTACTGCAAGGACTAGTAGACATCTAGCTCCATGGAAAACCATTTAACTCGGACGAACTGACCGGATTTAAACACTAGAAGTGGCCCTTAGTAGGAATACAACCAAGAACACCAAGTATTAACGTATAGTGGTACAAAATATTGTAAAGGAAGGACTTTAGAGGTGCGATGGGAGACTACGAATATTGCATTTCTAGACTTACAACCAGCACTACGTACCGAGGATACCTAGATTTGTATTTGTGTAGCAAGATCTTGGCTCTAACACGATCAGTCGGTGTAGTCTACCCATTCAAAACCCACAGCTCCTATTATACTTTCAAATGCCGTTGCTTGAGCTGATCCACAGCCTTCTGGCCAAGATCCCGAAAGCTGCCACCATTCATGAGCTGCAACACCGTCACATCGACGCCAAATGACTGTTTCCACCAATTACGTAGTTCGATTGCCACAAGAGAGTCGACACCAAAATCGTGCAGCGACAACCCCAAATTTGTGGCCTCATCGGCATGTCGCGTTGTATATATGGAAACTTGGCGAGCAATTTCTGTAGCTGCTCTTTCAGCACTAGACTGGTCTTGCAAAATTCCCGGGCTGTCATGTATAGCGGCAAGAAACGATTTAAGACCACCGCCCTCACGTTGGTCACCATCAGGAGTGGATGCATCTTTCTGGGTATGAACGCGACTCAACTCTGTCCATCCCCGTCCACCTTCGCAATTGATCAACCATTGGTCATTAAACGTCCAATGCGAGCCCTGGTAGCTAGCTATTTTAAGCTCTTCCTAAAGTCACTTGTGGAGCCTTTGCCCCATGGTCTC